TATACAGTGTAATCTTGTTTATCTATTCTACAATTTTGAAATCCCAGTCTATCCCTTCCCACCCTCTACCCCCCTGGTAACCACAAGTCTGTATTCTCTGTCCATGAGTCTTTAGATTCCCATATGTGGAATCTTAAAAAAAGACACAAGTGAACTTATTTACAAAACAGAAACAGACTCACAGACATGGAAAACAAACTTACGGTTATCTGAGGGGGAAGTGGGAGATGGAGAGATAAATTAGGAGTTTGATATCTGCAGATACTAACTATATATAAAAGAGATAAATAAATTTATACCATATAGCACAGAGAACTATATTCAGTTTCTTACAGCAACCTATAATGAAAAAGAATATGAAAACAAATATATGTGTGTACATGCATGACTGAAGCATTATGCTGTGCACCAGAAACTGACACAGCACTGGTCACTGACTGTACTTCAACTGGAAAAGAGCAGAGGCAGGGGAGTCTCCCAACAGAAAAGCCCTGGACGTGCTGGCGTCACTGGTGGGTTCTACCAAGCACTTGAAGAAAACTAACACCAGTCCTTAACTTTTGTTGGTTCAACGTGTGAAGATTGGTCAGTAATCACCACGTTAGCAGAATGAAGGGGGAATAAAGAGGATCATTGTAATCAATACAGAAAAAGCATTTAACGAAAGATAAAAACATTATCATTCATGATAAAAACACTCAACACACTAGGGACAGAAGGCAAGTACCTCAGCATACTAAAACTCTTCTCTGAAAAACCCACAGCTAACATCATACTTGTCGTGGGGGAGGGGATGGTGTGGCGGGAAGGACGTCCTCTTCAACGGTAATTGTGTGTCTTTGTTTCAGGTGCACAGCAGAGTGACTCACTTACACACATACATATTATTTTTCAGATTCTTTTCCATTATAGATTGTTACAAGGTATTGAATATAGTTCCCTGTGCTCTACAGCGGGTCCTTGTTATTTATCTATTCTATATATAGTAGTGTGTCTATGTCAGTCCCAAAGTCCTAATTTATCCCTCATGCCTCTTCTCTTTCCCCTTTGGTAACCATAGTTGGTTTTTTATGTCTGTGAGTCTGTTTCTGGTTTGTAATAAGTTCCTTTGTATCTCTTCTTCTCTTTTTTTTAAGATTCCACATATAAGCGATATCATGATATTTGTCTTCCTCTGCCTGACTGACTTCACTTAATATAATCTCTAGATCCATTCATGTTGCTGCAAATGGCATTATTTCATTTCTTTTTATGGATAAGAGATATTCCATGGTATATATTTATACATAGCACAACTTCTTCCTCCAGTCATCTGTTGATGGACATTTAGGCTGCTTCCATGTCTTGGCTGTTGTAAACGGTGCTTCTGTGAACACTGGGGTGCTTGTATCTTTTCGAATTACAGTTTTCTCCAGGTAGAAGCCCAGGAGTAGGATTGCTGGATCATATAGTAACTCTATTTTTAGTATTTTAAGGGACCTCCACATTGTTCTCCATAGTGGATGCACCAATTTACATTTCCCACAATGTAGGATGGTCCCCTTTTCTCCACACCCTTTGCAGCATTTATTATTTGTAGACTTTTAACGATGACCATTCTGACCAGTGTGAGGTGACAGCTCATTGTAGTTTGATTTGCATTTCGCTGACGATCAGCAATGCTGAGCATCTTTCCACGTGCCTGTTGGCCATCTGTGTTTTCTTTGGAGAAATGTCTATTTAGGTCTATTGCTTATTTTTGAATTGGGCTTTTGTTTTTTGTTTTAAGGGGGACTTTGATATTAGGTTGTATGAGCTGTTTGTGTGTTTCGGAAATTCCTTGTCAGTCTCATTGTTTGCAAATATTTTCTCCCATTCTGTAGGATGTCTTCTTGTTTTCTTTTTGGTTTCCTTTGCTGTGCAAAAGCTTTTAAGTTTAATTAGGTCCCGTTTGTTTATTTCTGCTTTAATTTCCATTACTCTAGGAGATGGATCCAAAAAAAATATTGCTGCAATTTATGTCAGTGTTCTGCCTGTTTTCTTCTAGGAATTTTATAGTATCCAGTCTTACACTTAGGGCTTTAGTCCATTTTGAGTTTATTTTTGTATGTACTGTTACAGAG